CTGCCCCCTGCCCCCCCAGTCAGTCCAGCTCGGCATGGACATTTTTTCTTGAAAATCAGTCCCAAAAATCGCTCACACTACCAAACACCATGTTATATTTTGTATGTATTTATGCTGTACATATTCACATTTTTACTGCTTCCAAACTGAACCTTATGAACAAACAAAAACTATTAAGCAGCACTATTTTTGGGGAAAAAAGAGAACGGGAAAGTGATTAATGGTGCATGGCACCGAATACAAAAAATAATAGTAATAATAAATAAGAATTATTGTCATGGTGAGCTGAGCACATTTCCGGGATGTTAACTAAAAAGCAGTAGGTAGGTACTCAAAGATATGAAACGCTGCACGGTTTGGTCCTCGCGAGTTTGTCGTGATTGGAAAATTTATTAATGTATACGAGAGTCGTTTTACAAGATTGGGCGTTTGGTCTAGTGGTATGATTCTTGCTTTGGGTGCAAGAGGTCGCGAGTTCGATTCTCGCAACGCCCCGCTTGTCATGAATGCGTTGATTCATTACCAAAATAAAGTATCATCCAACTGTTCATGGCAAGCATTTTTTTTCCTCGTTCATAGGGAATGATAAATAAATTGAGTAATTTAAATGGAGAAACTATTTTCTTTTATTGAAATAAAAACTGAGGGAGATCATACATCCTAATACTACTCTTGTCTAACCTCACAGCCACATCCCACCATGTATTAGATACATCTCCCATAAATTATAAGGGAGATATTTCTGATATACAGCTGAAACATGCTGTGAGAAGCAGATCAGGACTCGGGGTGTGAGGGTATCTACTCTCCAGACTCCAAATAACTGCCCTGAATTCTTTGGCAAGGGTTATACATCTCCAGTCATTCTTTTCTCTTTGCTAAGCAATCTATGACAATCTTTGAATCTTTTTCAATCCATATGCTTCTACGTTAACTGGATACTGAAATTTTGTGGGCCTTTTTAGTGGCCCAAAAAACTCTACCACATTTATGGTTGTGCTCTCTTAACAGTCCTGCAATTGCATCTTGGATTTTGTTTCCTATCCCACGCAATGCAACCGAATGAGCACATGCCTTTGATAATGCAACCGAATAAGCACATACCTTTGATGCATTAAAGTTACCCTTAAGATATCCCATTGTGGCAAGCTTTTTAAAACCGGACATGACAAGGAACCGTTTTGGGTCCGGTTCTCAAGTCGAACGGTTCTATCTACTCTAACATAAAAAAGTCAAAACTATTATTTGGGTCAATGTGTCGATGGTTTGACCACCCAAATTAATAGTTTGCTGATCAAATTAATGGTTTTAACTAAAAAGCTGTTTTAAGGTGAAATGGAACTAATCAGATGACCGATTCTCAATTTTTCCGATCCAACCATCCAATCCAGTCCGGTTTTGAAAACACTGCATTGTGGGATGGGTTCCATTATTTTACTCAGTTATTACCTCGTTTTACTAAGTTTACATTTTCATTGACTTCTATAAAATCACAAAAAAACAATTCTTGCTCTTTCTACGTTTGTTGTTGGGCCCCATATTTGTTTTGATTTCTTTTCCCACTTTTTTTATCAAAACATAAAATATATTAAGCAGAACTAGGAGAATTATAGAGTCTTTCTGCTACCAGTAGTAGTGATATTAAATTTACAATGATTATATGCCAGATGATGGGCAGCAGAATTAGCATTCCTACTTATATGACTAATACATATATACTCAAAAAGAGAGAGATTAACTTCTTGGTTTTGTCCTTGAGGTGCTTTGTCTCCCGGTCAGCATTCATATCCTGATCTACTATATTCACAATCCCTGCAGAGTGATATTAAATTTTTTTTCTCCACTTTTGTGATTCCACAAGAACTCAACGAGGAGATTTGGTTCTTCCCAGTAATTTGGGAAGTTATTTCTCATTGCAATCCTTAAGGCCTGGGATAATATCTTGTACAATCATTCAATTTTTTTTCTCATCAACATATATATATATAGTAAATATTTTATAATAATTCTTACTTTTTTTGTTTGGAAAATAAAAAAAATTATACATATAATTTTTATTTTTCAAAAAAAAAAACTTGGTTTATAGTTGAGCCCGAGCCGAGCCAAGCTTGAGCTCGAGCTTGAGCTTGATACTATTCCTGCGATCCAAGCTTGAATAGCCAAATATTCGGCTTGGCTCAGCTTGAATTCACCCCTACCTAAGGTTCAAAGTATTGATACACCCAATACATTGGATAGGGTGTATTGAGTGTTTTGGTTGTACTTTTTTTTTTTTTCAAAAATTATTTTTTGGGTCCGATTTAATGTCAATATAACCCTTGAAATGGTCAAAACCCCAAAAAATTCCACATCTAATGTACCAGTGACCTATTGATATGGTACGTTTTGATTGACACGGGTTGATGTATTATGAAATTTTGATCCTTGGCTCGGAGCAACTAAAAACTATAGGGAAAATTCCCGATTAGTACCCTGTACTTTGGATCTATTGTCACTTTGGTCTCCGAACTTTAAAATGCGACAATTCAGTACCCAAACTTTCAAAACATGACAATTCAGTATCTACCGTTAACTAGCTTTTAATCAACCGTTAAATGACATTTAAAAAGACATAAATACCCTTTGAGTGTCATCTAGTTTTCTTTATCAACTATCCAAACATTGACAAACAAATTAATAGTCCCAAGTCCTTACCTCTTCTATTCAAGAAAGTTGGGGTCAACAGAATGCCCATTCAAATGTAACCCCAACTTTCTAGAATGGAAGAAGCAAGGATATGGGACTGTTAAATTTTTATCAATTTTTAGATGGTTGATAAAGAAAATTAAATGACATTCAAAGGGCATTTATGTCTTTCTCAAATGCCACTTAACAGCAAGTTAACTGTTGATTAATAGCAGGTATTGGATTGTAACGTTTTGAAAGTTTGGATGACAGGGTACTAATACGCAATAAAATACATAGAAGGCTGTGATTTCACTATTATAGTGGATTTCCCCTCAGGCAATAAAAAGGGGTCCACAAGCCGCAGCTAGGCACCTGCCCCTGAAATCTCTGATAACAACATCATAAGAAGCTTTATTATTAAAAAATAAATAAAAATAAAAAAACCTCTATCAGAAACCATGGAGTTTCGGTTCTCACTCCTTAAGCGTGCTTGCTGTGTTGATAGCAAACAACTCATCCTCTCCTGTACTTTCTTGTCAATACAAGCTTTCAAAAACATAGTTGTTTCTACTGATCCATATTGTCCAAAGGGTTAGAGTCATATTGCACAGAAGGAAAGGTTTTGAAGATTTGTCTTTTGCACACATTTGAAATCACTTATCCAACCATTCTGAAAACTCAGAAAATTGTTTGTTCCTTATCTTGGCAAAGAATACAAAGAGGGGAATTGATAACATTCCCCTTCCAAAGCAATTGATTCACAGCAAGAGCCTTATTTGAGATTTTCCATAAAAAATACGTTATTTTTTGCTCCACTGGTAGAGACCAGATTGTGTGCCAAAACTTAGAAGAGTTAAGACTTTATCTCTACTTGTAATAGCGAAATAGGCTGACTTATCTGTAAAAATTCCTTTAGAATCTGGAACCTATCTCAGAGTCTTGCCAAGAGAAGTGGGACAGATTGATAGCACAAATTTTTCTTGCTGCTTCATCCGGGAAAAGGGAATTTATTAGATCAGTGTTCCAAGATCCACTAAAAGGCAAGAGAAGGTATTTTACTTTTGAGGGTCCTAAGGGCCCTGGACTTGGACTTGGCCCCATAACCCCGAACCCTTCAATCCTTGGGATCCAAGGGTGAGCCAGATGTCTACATCTTACCTACAACTCATAGCCCAATATGCCCCTTTCAGTAAAACCTCTCTTTGCAAGCAGCCTTTTCCAACCCCAGGACCCGTTTTATTTCACACATGGTTTTTAAAACCGACCCTGTGACCTGGTTATTGGGTCAAACGATTCGACTGTTTGAACCGAATGCTCGGCCCATTTTGATAAAAATTTAAAAAAATCAAAAAAAAATAAAAAATAGTCAAAACCGTTCGAACAGTTAACCGCCCGATTCAACGGTTTACTGATCAAAATCAACAGTTTTAGGGGAAAATCTGGTTTTTGGGGAAAACGGAACCAGTCACCGGTTCCCAGTTTTTCCGGTCTGACCATCTGATCCAGTCTGATTTTGAAAACCATGATTTCACATCACTATGGAGGAAATTTTCATATGGTAGTATTTTTCTTTAATGACCTTGGCCCAAAGATAGTCATTACTAGTGCAAATCCTCCAAGCTAATTTTGCTTGCAGAGTTGCAATCCCACAAGTCTCTGAAGCCTAAACCCCAATTCCCTTTGTTTTTGCAAATTCTATTCCAGCTGACCCATTAAACAGGACATAGTGCAACTTGGAAAGGCAGCTACAACTGCCTTTAACAAAACCTCTAGGAGAAAGTAGGTTTCCGTGCCAAAATGTTTTTTTCTCAATTCCCTCTCTAAGATAGCTGAAAGTTTTCATATTGGACCTTCCGAGAGAAGCAGAAAGGCCCAAATAGATGGAGGCGGCAACTTTTAAATGATGATCCTTAGCAATGATTTTTCTCAGCGTAGGATGAACACTTTTACTGAACAAAAAAATCTCAGATTGAGGGATTCACTTGTTGGGCGGAGACCCTCCTGTATTCTTTTTTCTTTGATTGCCTCCAATCCTGTTCACCCAAAGTACCCAATTACCCAACTGGACTCGATCAAAAAATTATTAAAAAAGAAGTAAATTATTCCACATTATTTTTCAAACTATTTTACATCAAAATAATTATAAACAATATTTTGTAACAACTAACACGTGTACAGTGTGCTTGGAATAACTTTGACTTGATCAACATTTCTAAAAATGGCCATCACATCATCTGATAACCGTGATTCATAGTGCCACACTGCCACTAACGTTCGAATATCATTTTGCACATCTAATAATACAATAGAAAAGCTAAAATAATAGTTCGCAATGAACTTTCAAATATTAGTTCCGATAAAACTTTGTGAAGATTTCTCATATCATTGGGGCCTTTCGCCAGTAATCCTGTAAATATTACAGATATCTTCTCCGCTACCCATTGTGGCTATGTTAATACTTGGGTATCTCCTTTCAGTTTCACTCGAGAAAAAGAACATGACAGTTCAATTTCCTTGATGAATATCAGCACTGTAATGCCTAATTGTACCTAACCACCTCTGCCTTTGTCCCTGGCGTTTTTTCAGGGACTAGCATTCCTATTTATTATATCCAACGCAACGCTTTTACAGTTCTTTAGAAATTCATAGCTCTTTACAGGGTCGGCATTGCTCAATGCAGATTTCAAGTTGAAAAAGAGGTCATAATACATCTTAGTTAATACTTGCATGCCCTTTGTTGCATCCATCAAGGAAAAATCAGCAAATCCACTTCCATCACGGGGCTTCAGCATCTCTTCTGCTTCATTTTCTGCGTGAACAGATTTTGTTCCTGGTGACAATTTTTGCGCCAACCGGGTTTCCACCCGGACACTTACCACTGCTTCCAATTTTGCAGCCATGACAGCAGCTCGAGAAATGCATGAAGGTGGCAGCTGCAAGGGTACCAACACTTTGAATTCAAATGACTGGAAAATGTCACCAAACAACTCTTTCTGAACACCTTTCTTTCTTTCCTTTTTTTTTTCATAGCAGTGGTGGTGTGTGGCATAGAGGAAGTAAATCAGCATCAAGAATTGAAGTACAATCTAACCCTTCAGACTACAGAATCTGAATAGAAAAATGTCCTGCTAGGGCAACATCCAGAAATATGGTATGCCAAAAGTTGAAGATTTCTTGTGTTAAATTAGTAAAATTTATCCAACTTCACCAGGTAAAATAATTCAACTATTCTTCAACGGAACTATTCTTAAGGGCATGAAATAGACGCCTGACATATTGCAATATTCGACAATCTAGTGAATGAAAAAACATGCATTTTGAAATAGGTGACAATTAATTAAGGCAAGAATGGACCCCATCCCTTTCTCTTCCTTTTCCTTTAAATAATGAGAAACCAAACCCTAATTATATTAAGAGGAAAATGTTCAACCTAGCTCAGTCTAGTTTATTAGCTGACAAATGTTAAAATAATCCTATATTGTTACTATTATTTTTAATATCATTTTCATTTTTGTTATTTTTTAGCAGTGTTACTGAAGTAGTTCATTTTTAAATCTGTTTTTATTATTGTTGTTTCTTAAAACAAGGCAGCTATTTTTGTGAATAAAAAAATATATCCAACAAAGAGGCAAGTTAAAATAACAATAACTCACCTGAGCAAGTTGGGCAACATTAAGTCCAAAACTCTTGTCTGATAAGCCAGGTATAACCTTATAAAGGAAAGTGATGTCCCCATGATCAACATTCCCAACACTCTGGTCTGATTTGAAGTCTGAAACGCTGGTTTTCTGTGATGCCAAATAAGAAACATGGTATGCCCCAACAGAGTCTGAGAATTCATCCTTGATATCAGCAATTTTAGGATAGTGGGTAACAAAGAGGATCATGCATTTTTTCTGCTTGAGAAGGTAGTGCAAAGTTGCATAAGCAATGGTGACACCATCATGTGTGCTTGTACCTCGCCCAAGTTCATCAATTATCACCAGCGAATTTGAGGAGCAATTGTGGAGGATGTGTGAAGTTTCATTCAGTTCTTCCAAGAAAGTGCTCCTCCCTTGCTGAATACTATCAGATGCCCCCATTCGGGTGTGGATTCCATCTAGCACATGCAACTTTGCTGATGATGCTGGTACATACGAACCAACCTGGAAGAAACATGGGTTTGTTTGATGGAGCAGTGACATGAGAATGATCGCCTTCTACATATCTTAGCAAGTTGAGAAGCAATATGCACAATATGCACATAAGGTGAAGTTTACTTGAGTGGAGCAAGGGAAACAAAGAGAAAAAGAAAAAGGAAAAAAACAAAAACCTGTTCTCAGGGAGGTATTGAACAATTCTATATAATCATGTCCTATTTGCTAGAATAAAATTTGACCTCTCATGCCAGCAAAAAAGCAAGCCTAGAAATTGTGTCTTCATTCCTCTATACAAAGAAAAAAGTGAAACAACATTTAAAAAAAAAAAAAGATTTAAAAACCGGACTGGACAAGGAACCATTTTAGCCACTGGTTCCCGGGCCAAACAATCCGACTGTCCGGTTCAAATGGACAGCCTGTTCTGATTTAAAATAATTAAAATAAAAAACAGTCAAAACTGTTATCCAGGCCGACGGGTCGATAGTTCGACTGCCCGGGTCAGCGGGTCGCTGACCAAATCAATGGTTTTGGGGTGAAATGGAACCGGTTTCCTGACCGATTCCTGGGTCAACCGGTCTGACTGTCAGGTCCGGTCCGGTTTTCAAAACCATGTTTAAAAAGATGTGTATCTGTGTGTAATAACCACCAAGAATTAAAAAATATATATATAAAACCAAGGGTAATGCTTGAAAAGGTAAAGGTGTTCCAATTCTTCAGAAGAGATGCCTTTTGGAATTTTACACCATGGAAAAATCAGAGCAGTGTGTGCTTGTGTGTGTTTCATCTGGTTTTCCCTTTTTCCCTCCTTTTCAAGGACAATTTATTATCAATTAAAAAGCAGAAAAGTGGGAATATTCATATTTGGAAGATATTTGTTTCAGAGGAAGGGGATTAACTAGGGATCTGTTGGTACTCCAATTTGAACTTTCATCATTAATCCTGATGCTGATGAAAAAAGCTCAGTCTACCTGAGCCATTATAGTAACGAGAGCAACTTGACGAATATAGCAACTCTTGCCACCCATGTTTGGTCCTGTGATGATTTGACAGTATTCTCCATCTGCATGCAAGTTGGTATCATTTGGGACAAAATTGTCCCGTAATGTAGCCTCCAGAACCTGAGGAAAGATAAATAAATTATGTATAAGTTGCATAGGTGGCAGTCTATTAAATAATATTACAAGTTAGACCCAAGAAGTAAAAACTTGTCATTAATTGGGAGTAGGTTTCCTTATTTCCAGTATTGACTTGGTGATTCAGTGTAGTTACCATGCAAAAGTTTTGTAAAACTGATATGATGTGGTGCAGGAACTTGGGCAGGAGTAGTTCAAACCAGTGTTTTAAAAGGCGTGCCTCCAGACGAGGCGCTCCCAAAATGCCATGAGGCGTATGCCAGAGACGCTGACACCTCTGAGGCGTACGCCTCATGTGCTTTTTTCATGAGGCATGCCAGAGGCGTATGCCTCATGCGCCTCATGAACACCTCATATAAAAAGACAAAAAAAAAAGAAAAAAAAAAGAAAGGAAAGGAAAAGAAAAGAAAGGGAAGGGAAGAAAAGATAAGGGGAAAGAAAATGGTCTGCCCCCGGCCCTTTCGGATGGGGGGCTTCGCCCCCTAGACCCCTCCTTTCAACTAGTGCTATACTGCTATGCATCTTTATTCTTCTTAATATAAAAGATTTTTATTAAAAACAAAGAAAAATGAGATCCCCCTCCCTCTTCTTCCTCCTTCCTCCTAACCCCCTCCTCTTAAGGAGGCTTACGCTCCCTTGTGTTCAGGAGGCTTACGCCTCACGCCTTTACGTAGTGGAACGCCTTGCGTCACGCCTATGTGTTTTAAAACATTGGTTCAAACTACAAAGAACTTTCATGTGGCTCTAATTATGGTTTTGCAAGAGGAAAGAAAACAGGGAAGAAAAAAGGAAAACGAAAAGAAAAAAAAAAAAAAAAAAAAAGAGAAGTGAAGAATGGAAAGGAAAGAACGGTGGAGGTATGAGGTAGAGTCTCACTATCCCTGTTCCATCCTGAATCCTCTATTAATTTGGAAAAGATGGAACATATAGCCCTATATGGGAGAGTAAATAGGGCTCCTCTTAGGAAAACCCCCAACGGGAATAAGGATGTAGCCATAAACATTTATCAGTCTCTATGTCTCAACCAATGCCAGAAGCAACAAATTTTAACAATAAAGCATCTATCAATTTAAGCTAGACTCAAGTCGGAACAAAGAGATTGAACAAATAGAACCTAAGAAACACAAGCATCTAAAAGTTCACTCAAGTAGATGCCCATGTTTTATAGAATATTTAGATGTGAAAATGCCATCATAGCAATAAAGATCTAATGAAGCCCACATTATTCTGAATGGAAGTCAAACAATGAAGAGTGGCATACCGGATGACGACCAGAATGAATATGTATCTGAACAGGTTCATCACCATCCACAAAAAGTGGACAGACATAATTCTGCAATATATACTTTAAAAGAATTATTTATTGATCAAGTTGCATATTTAAGTGTAAACCTGAGAAGTTACAGATACCATAGAAGTTACCTTATTCCTTGAAAGAACGGCAAGAGAATGCAGACAATCCAAAGCAGCAAGTGCTTGAACAGCAGCTTGAAACTCAGGATAATATTTATCAAATCCCATCAAGAAACTATCCCAGTTAGATCGGCAGACAACAGCAAGCTCCTCCTTCGCTAGAGACAATTGATCTAAAGCAGTCAAGACTTCAGGAGGATGATAACGAATTGTTTTTTTTGTACTATTGACCTTAACCCAATTTAATGGAACCTTCACATCTAATGGCAACTGCAACCAATGCTACACAAAGTTAGTATCTCAATTATATTAAACTAATTGCCATTGACCAGGCAGACCCCAAACTGGGTAGCATGCACCGGTTTAACATGAAAAGTGTGAAAGAACCAGATCAAATTACCAGGTTGTATAGCTAAGAATAATAAGAAAAAAACAGCAAATAATAATTTTTTTTTTCAAGAGAACAGGATATGAAAAAAACCACCCACAGTGATGGACCAAATGGTCAGAAGAAAAGTTTTTTCACAAGCACAGGAAACCCATCTCCAGTAACAACAAATTTGTTATTAGCTATGAAAACTAACTAAAAAACAATCGAATATTAAAAACAAAAAACCTCTCTGACAGTCACAAGTAGGAAACACCTGAAGTAGTCTGGATTCTGGAAGACATTTTGAAGTTGAAAATATGCATTGAGAAACAAGATATACGTGACCATGCATATATATGGATATACCCATAGACAGAAAAGAAAGCATATCTCGCACATGAGAACAAAACAACAATTAGAAGACCCAGAAGGCACCAATATAAAAGGCAAGATATACTTAAATAGCAAACCAATAATGTTTGAAGAATACTAAGGATTAAGTTTCAACTCACGACAATGACAATAAATACTTAAATAGAAAACCGATAGTCACCAGCTAGATAGGCTATCTTCATCAAACTGATAGGCCCCCAGTTAACCTTACGTATGCTAGGAGAAAGAAAAGGCAGCATAAGGGGGAGATGATTAGACATGGGGCATTTATGGAGGAGGTCAGAAGGGAATAGGAAGAGTCTTGGGGCATTTATAGCTATATCAGTTATGAATAAGAAGAGTTTTTGGGCATTTATAACTAGGCCGGCTGGGCATTTATAGAGGGAGTCAGTTATGCTATCAGAAGAGTATAAGAAGGGGCTTTGGGGGATGAGGGGTGGTATGATTTTCTTTGAGTGAAGAATACTGTGAGTGATTGGGAGAGCCGGCGGTCTCTCGAAGAACCGACCAACTGTTAAATGTTTCTTATGAATACCAATTTGTTTTGTTGATGTTCTAGTTGTGTGAACTCTGCTGTGGGTCTGAGAACTGTGTGTGAGTTTCTGGGACATAACAGTGGTATCAGAGCTCGTCTTTCCTCGGCCATGGTGACAGCTAAGGAAGTGGCATTGCAGGTGGAGGGTTTCGAAGAGCGCTTGACTTCTCTGCATTCTGAAGTGGATGGCTTACGCGATGAGATAACAGCTGGACTTTCGAAGATCACATCCCTGGAAGGAGGCGTTCAAGACTTGGTAAGACGTTTTGATCTGTTGCTTCAGCAACAGACCTTGCCAGCTCCTTTGTCTACAACGGACATTGCTCCTCCTGTAGCCACATCAAGTCGTGCGGCTGACAAAGGGAAGAGTGCAGCTTTCCCGACGTCTCCTTCAGTGTCAGTCTCGGAACATACTTCTGATTCACTTCCTCGGAAGTTGGAGTTACCTATTTTTGATGGGGAAAATCCAGATGGCTGGCATTTTTGCGCGGAGCGCTATTTTGAGATTAATGGCTTGCTTCCGGCGGAGTGTCTGCGAGCTGCAGTTGTTCGTTTAGAGGGTGATGCATTGGCGTGGTATTACTGGGAAGATGGTCGGCGACCTTTTCGTGGTTGGACAGAATTCAAAGAGCTCCTCCTTGAACRTTTYCGATCGACTCARGAKGGTAATTTACAGGAGCAGCTCTTCTCGTTACATCAGTCTTCTACTGTTAAGGAATATCGTCGCCAATTCGAGGTGCTCTCCGCTCCCTTACGTGACCTGCCGGAATCAGTCCTTGAAGAAGCATTTGTTAATGGGTTGCACGACCCTTTCCTGAAAGGTGYCATGAAGCGGGGTGACTGGTATAGAWCTAAAGACTTGGTACTTAAGGGCTCTGATTGGATTGTCAATGAAATGAAGAAATCTGGTCTTCGAGGCCATGGTGGAGCTGGTTTTCCATCTGGCCTGAAGTGGTCTTTCATGCCACAAGTATCTGATGGCCGTCCTTATCTTGTTGTCAATGCTGAYGAGAGTGAGCCAGGAACATGTAAGGACAGAGAAATTATGCGCCATGACCCACATAAACTACTTGAGAGTTGCCTAGTTGCAGGGGTTGGTATGCGGGCCACTGCTGCTTATATGTACATATGGGGAGAGTATGTAAATGAGCGGAAAAACCTTGAGAAGGCAAGGAGGGAAGCTTATCAAGCTGGACTTTTGGGAAAAAAAGCATGTGGATTTGGGTATGATTTTGATGTTCATATCCACTATGGGGCTGGTGCTTACATTTGTGGAGAAGAGATGGCATTGTTGGAAAGCCTTGAAGGAAAACAAGGAAAACCAAGGTTGAAGCCTCCTTTTCCAGCTAATGCARGGCTATATGGATGTCCAACAACTGTTACAAATGTTGACACTGTGGCTGTTTCCCCCACCATTTTAAGGCGTGATCCTGAATGGTTTGCTAGTTTTGGCAGGAAGAACAATTCTGGGACAAAGCTATTCTGTGTCTCAGGCCACATGAATAAGCCTTGTACAATTGAAGAGGAGATGAGTATTCCATTGAAGGAGCTGATAGAGAGGCACTGTGGAGGAGTTAGAGGGGGATGGGATAATTTGCTTGCTGTGATACCAGGGGGTTCTTCTGTTCCACTGATTCCAAAGCACATATGTGATGACGTGTTGATGGATTATGATGCACTCAAGGCTGTCCAAACGGGTTTAGGGACAGTTGYTGTAATTGTGATGGACAAGTCAACTGATATTGTGGATGCAATTGCTAGGCTCTCTTACTTCTACAAGCATGAAAGTTGTGGGCAGTGCACACTACGTAGGGAGGGGACAGGATGGCTGTGGAGGATCATGGAGAGGCTGAAGGTTGGAAATGTGAAGCAGGAGGAAATAGACATGCTTCAAGAGGTGACAAAGCAGACACACCATCTGTGCATTGGGCGATGCTGCTGCTTGGCCTGTGCAGGGACATATCAGTGCGCGGTGTGCATCCATCCACTATGCTTGGGCTACTGGTTTGGAAGTGCTTATTCATTGGCTGGCCTGCCTGATTTTGAAGATTATTGGGAGCCTTTTGACTTGCTTCGAGACCAATTTCCTCATTTTAACCTTGAGGACAAGGTTAGACTTTGGGAGGCAGGTAATGATAGGCCCCCAGTTAACCTTACGTATGCTAGGAGAAAGAAAAGGCAGCATAAGGGGGAGATGATTAGACATGGGGCATTTATGGAGGAGGTCAGAAGGGAATAGGAAGAGTCTTGGGGCATTTATAGCTATATYAGTTATGAATAAGAAGAGTTTTTGGGCATTTATAACTAGGCCAGCTGGGCATTTATAGAGGGAGTCAGTTATGCTATCAGAAGAGTATAAGAAGGGGCTTTRGGGGATGAGGGGTGGTATGCTTTTCTTTGAGTGAAGAATACTGTGAGTGATTGGGAGAGTCGGCGGTCTCTCRAAGAACCGACCAACTGTTAAATGTTTCTTATGAATACCAGTTTCTTTTGTTGATGTTCTAGTTGTGTTAACTCTGCTGTGGGTCTGAGAACTGTGTGTGAGTTTCTGGGACATGAGAACAAAACAACAATTAGAAGACCCAGAAAGGCACCAATATAAAAGGCAAGATATACTTAAATAGCAAACCAATAATGTTTGAAGAATACTAAGGATTAAGTTTCAACTCACGACAATGACAAGAAATACTTAAATAGAAAACCGATAATCACCAGCTAGATAGGCTACCTTCATCAAACTTTCTCTAAATCAATTTCTATAGATTACCTCTATTAAGTGTGTAGATCCAGACACACTCATGAATTCCAAATTGCACATTCCAAGCTGTTTGCGGTATATACCAATTAACAAATCCAACTTCTCCTTTGCCAGTTGAACTGCTATGCGTGCTCTAGAAACCTGCATGCAAACAACCCAGTTAGGTAAAAAGGGAGTGAATAAAAAAAAATCAAAGAAAACACCAATAATGGTGGATGATATATGACTGTCAAAATAAGGCCATGTTTGGGAGTGGTTAAAAATAAGTGCTTATTTGGGCCATTAAGCACTAATTGGTATTTGGGAAATAAGCCTGAAATAAGTGCTTATTGTATAAGCCCAAATTTCCAGCTTTTTTTAAGTGCTTATTGTATAAGCACTTATTCAACTTTTTTCTTCCAAAATTATCCCTAGTTGAATTTTATAAAAGTATGAAAGCACTTTTATAAAAGTACTTTTATGAAAGCACTTTTACAAAAACACTTTTATAAAAGCACTTTTACGAAAGTACTTTTATGAAAGCACTTTTACATAAGTACTTTTATGAAAGCACTTTATATAAAAGCACTTTTACAAAAGTGCTTTTGTAGAAGTACTTTCATAAAAGTGTTTTTATAAAAGTAATTTAATAAAAGTACTTTCAAAGTGTATATTTTGAAAATTTGAAGGAAAATGAAGGACAAAATCATCACAAATGCTTATTTAAGTGCTTATTAGAGAAAAAGACTACCAAACGCCCAATATAAAATAAGTGCTATTTTAAAAAATAAGCACTTGAAAAAGTTGGGTGCCAAATACAAGTAAGTGCTTATATGAATAAGCACTTCTTTTTAAGCACTTATTTTTAACTTAAGCACTCCCAAACATGGCGTAAGTTTTGCAGTGACACACTTTCAAAAAGAACATGCAGATACCTCTGGAAACTGACCATCAGAAATAACAAACAAGTTTTGCAGATCGCCTTGATCAGCTGCATCCTTGTTCAAGGAAGAGAGGAGTTTAGCAGCATGACCAATAATAGTGGATGATGAGGCTGTCAAAATCAATCTACTCAATAGAGGTGAGTGCACAATCTTCTCCTTCACCATTCCAGAACTGTCTCCATCTTCATTGTGAAGTTGCTGAAGTTGTTTTCCAGCAAGTAAAATAGCATCAATGACTGAAATGAACTGCCATTCAGCCAGTGGAACTGTTAGCATCAATAGACAAGAAAAAGAAATAATAGCATCTAATGATAGTTTAGACTATTTAGTTCAGTAAAGCAGATGATGGAAATTCATGAGAACTTCAAAATTGTTAAAACCTTTCTTTATGAATTTTAAGAAGCACCAATCATATAATCAACCATATGCAACCATTCAAACTAAGAGAAAACAATATAGGCAAAGCATCTGTGGGCTGTGTCTATCAAAAAGTAGCATAAAGAAAGCCATTTTTTTCCTTCTAAAACCCTTCCAAAAAAATAATAAATAGTATACCTGACTATAATTTTCACATATCAAATATGCACATGATTGACATGTTACAATTGTGTATCAAATTTGAAATTTTTGTCATATTTCCAATGTAATTAAACCATCATATTTTACTAAAATTATAAGATTGGAAATTTAATTGGAAAAACAATATCAAGCTTTGGTCAACAGATAGTCAAGTTTTATTATATCATTGGCATAATGAAGAGTTCAGAAGTCAGAACATTCCATAGTCTTTAATAGAAAACATTGGATGTTTATCAAAATTTTCTGATTTCCTCAGCCTAACTAGTTTTTCCAGTAGAAAAAAACCTGGGTATGCACATCTGTAGGTGCTTATTAAAGCATTTGAATGATCTCAGAATAGTCATGAAACACATCATTTGTTTGACTTCAAGAATTGACAGAATCAGAACCAAGGGGTGTTATTTAAATTAGATAATAATAGAAATATGACCAAGAAAAGGCTGTTTAGCACCTCAGATGCAGTGGCAGTGCGATGGTAAATTCTTGTTATTCCACGCTGAATATCAGGTGACCTTCCTAAAGTTGTCAAAACTGTGGAAAGCAAATAGTTGATTTCAGATTGTGCTGTTAGACAGGACTCATTGGAATCACCAGAGAAGCCCATTGATTTTGCAATTTCAGTGACTGCATCAAGACGAGCACAAATTGAGCTCCTATCACGTAAAGGATGAGTCACCTGCACATAGATTTCACAAGTGAAATAAAAAATAGTGAAACAAATGAAAACATATAAGAATCAGCACATAGGCCCACCTCATACCCAGTGTCTAAGAAGCCTTGAACCAAAAATAGTAACAGTGTGATTCATCAACTGCAGTAAAGACCCATTCTCAGATCCATCTGAGTTATTCCTTAAAATCTGAAAGACCAACGGAACCAATTGTTAGGACAATAATATATGGACAAATAGGAACAAGTATTACTGCTAAATGAGAAAACATTTCAACATTAAATCAACTCCTAGGAGATATGGGGCTAAGAGGGAAGACATACTTGTCCACATAAATTAACACAAAAATCAAAATAATAAGATGAAATTTATGACCTAAATATAAACCTGTTTGTACAAAAGGCCACAAAACTCAAGCATTATTCAACTCATTATGGATAATTCAAATGTCAAACATCAAAAAGGCTCCCAAGGAACTATCCTAAACAAAATCTTAGAAGAGTTTAGAATTACCTCTAATTGTTGAAGGGCATTAGCTGAGAGGGTCATCTCCATTTCAGTGGAGAAAGGCCGAAATGAAGCACCCATGCACAGAATTCTTTCTAAACCAAATTGCTTTAGATGACGAATTGCCAAGGCCAATGCTTGGACAGACAATTCTGGCATGCTTATAATTCCCTGTGAGGAAATGAAATTGAGTTTCAAACATGATGCAACAATTTTGAATCAGATGGTAGAGACTGATAAATGAGAATTCCAACAGAAACAGACCTCAATTCCTAGAAGATGTTTGCACTCTGAGTTTTGTTCTTGATGGTCAACCAAAGTGTCCTCACTCACGTTCTCATATAAAGACATCACTTCAGCAAGTGCACCCCCATCATTAAAGCACTCCCTTGAGGCACGCTCAACACGAACATTGGATGTAGGGCCAGCATATGCCAGCAATAACTAAAAAACAATTCCCCAATTTCTCAGACTAACAATATAAAAAACATGCCTGTAGTATCCTCTAAACATTCAAAATTCAACAAAGAGATACATAAGTTGATTTCTCCATAGTATTTATCCTCCATGAAAGCTTTATAATCATGATTTGGATATGCACAAGACTAAAGAAATGCTTCTTTTTTTGTATTTTCCTCCTCATGAACATTGAGACCCCTGGTTGGTTCTGTGAGCCTTTATTTTCTATCGAAATATATGATTTTTTAATTACCTTCCATTTATTTGGTTTGTGACTACATTTTACCCTTTTTATCATAGGTTTGACAGCCAAGAATCCTAGATGATAAAAGCAATACTTATTTTGCAGCAGACAGCCGTGCCAATGCACCATAACTGACTGCTATAGTGTTATGTACTTTCCAAGTAAAACTTTTTGTTCCTTCTTAACTAAAGGAATCATGCAGTTAGGTTGACTTGATCTAGATTACTAGATACGTAAACTTTAGAGGTAATATGTACCTTCTCTGTTTGTTTAGATAGAGGTTCCCCAAGAAGTATCTCGGCAGGAGATAAGCTCAAAATTACAGACTCAAGACCTGTTCTCGTTACATTATCATTGAATTCCCCATGCACAACATCTCCCGTTGAAGTCTCCACCGCAATAAGCCCAATTCTCACATCAAACCCACCCTCTACACCACACTCCCTATTCTCAATCAAAACTCCTTTTTCAACAACACAGGCCAGATAATTGCTAGAAGGGCCACAGCCCTCTTCTCCTCCACCGAGATCCTCAGCTGCTTCAATTGTTGCCTTTGTGTACAAGGCTGAAAGCCCTCTACAGAATGGCCCCAACCGGTTGGACCCATGAGCTTTAATGGCTGCAGTCTCGGTTTGTTTAACTACACCAACCTTATACCCGGCACTAACAAGTCTCCTGACGTGAACATTCAACCGGAAAGTCGGAATGCTTGCTGTCAAGAAATTGTGATCGACGTGGGCATAAATGCCCAAAACCCTAGCTGCAATATCAGCGTCTTCGCCAAAAAACCTGTATTTGTATCCGACTTCGACCATTAAAAGAACGTCAGGATATTTGGCTTTCAGATCAACGACTTGTTGCTCTAGAGGAGTGTACTTAGGGTTCGGTGCAGGAGATTTTGCGGCGGGAGGAGGAGAGTTAGAGGGTTCGAGGAGCTTCTGCAGGAACTTTTGGTGGAGAGAAGGATTGGGCAGAGGAGGAATGGGGTTCTTTGTGTGGGGAGAAAGTTTTGGTTTTTTGGGGTATTGGGTGGGAGATTTTGCTGGGGTTTTGGATGAAGCGAGTTCAAAGGTTCGGGCACGTTTGGAGGGGGAAAAGGAGACTGTAGCAGAGATTTTTGGTGGAGGAGCTGGTGGATTGGACTGAGGAATTGATGGAGAAGATGAAGAGGGAGATGGGTCTTTCGATTTGGGAGAGAAGAAGCGGGAAATAACCTGCTGCTTCAGATTTCCCATACCTTCTTTGTTCGTTTCCCTTGTTGGGCGGTTTCACGGGAGTCAAATAGTTATGAAGCTTTATATAGGTTGTTGGTTTCGCGCTCTTTCTTTCTTCTCTCTCAGTCGCCCAGTCCCACGCTTGCTCGTGCGGGGCAAGGTTAAAAGTATCAAAACGTAAGGTGTATAAGAAAACAATTTTAAGAGATGAATGGCTTGGATACGTATAGAGATGAAAAATTAAAATAAGTAGAAACATGTTAGGAAATTCAAATATATCTTAAAAAATATATTATTAACAATAATTATAAGTTTCAAATGATTGTAAATATGTTATTTAAATATAAAAATCCATATTTATAATCATTTAATTGCAAATAATTACAATTAATAACTTTTGAAAATGATGGAATAAATAAAATGTGAGAAAACAGAAAAAACTAAAATATGAATGCATATGCATCAATTTTCAAATAACCAATATAAATGTTATGTGTGTACATCAATTTATATTAAAATATTTATTAGTATATAAATTTTAATAATTAATTCTACCATTTATTAATAAATATCCATTAAGAAAAGAGAAAATTTACTTCAAAATAATAATGCATATAACAATAACAAACAAATGGGGGTGGCCTAGTGGTGACTTATGATTGTTAAAATCTAGTGATTAAGGTTCAAATCTTGCCATTTTTAAATTCTTATCTTTTCCATATCATAATTGAATCCATAGTTTTTATATTAACAAAACGAAATTAATGAGACAAAATCACTAATTAGCGAAATTAATAAGAGAATATCATTAATTAGTGGAATTAATAAGAGAATTCGAAATTTTGAACTTGGTGCAGGGTGTGCGCCACCATTGCAGGATTTGCTATTGGGTTGGGCTCCAAGGTTTGTGCAAGCCCATTTATCAATAATCCCATTCCCCATTCCCCTAATGCAACACGAGACGAGCAGGATCCCTTAGAGTTCAATAGTGAATCTTCAAATAGCTTCAAAGCAAAGTTTGAACGAACTAGGACTGATAACTTTTAAGCCCGTTCGCTTTTCGATAAGTTACTTGCTCAGGTAAATGCAGTACCTATGTAAGTTTTTCCTGGGAAACACTTACCTTGGTAAGTGCATTTACCCATTTTCTTTTATTTCTCATGTAAATAAGGTAATGACCATTTTAGCCATAAAAATCCATTATTAAAAGGGGCATTTTTGCCCCATTCAAGCCTTGGCAACTTTCCCCCTAGGTAGTAAAGTTATTTACCCACCTAGGAGATAGGTATCACTTACCACGTAGGAAAATAAACTTTCTCTAGTCCCCACATAAATCTAAAAAAAGAATATGGGATTCTTGACCAACTTTCCCCCCTCTCAAAATCCGAAAAAAGAACGCCCCCTTAGAGTTTTTTTTTTTGGTAAAAGGCTTAAATAAATCTGAGTTTTCATAAATTGATTTAAATATCTCTGAGATTTTTAAAATAACCTTAAATATACCTTATAACTTTTTTATCCTTCATTTTCTTTTAAATTTTTAAAAAGAAGGCTTATGCTTCAACAAGTGACTTAAATTTGTCAATTTAAAATAGACGATTCAATCTGGTCTTTAGTGCGTATAATTAAGTTCATTACATAGGAAAAGGAAGCTAATATTGACGATTTCAATTCCATATTTTCCTACTTGGAGGTTTCAACTTAATATGCTTTTAAGCAAAGAGAAGAGCAAGTCCAAATTCCGGAAAGAGAAGATACTAAAATGAGCATCTTTATATAATTCTAGAACTTTATGTACCTGTTTTTTGTCTAATTTTATATTTAAATATGGAGGATGGTTTGCCTCGTAAAGGTTCTGTTTTAGCATTCCCATTAAAAAGTTTATTGTCTCCTTAAGAGAATGATCTACATGGTGTTTGGAAGCGTGGGCGCTTTTTGGGACTGATTTTCAAGAAAAAATGCCCATGCTTCCAAGACCCGTTTTTTGCAAAAAAAACGCTTCTGCCACATAGGCAGTGATCAACACTATGCTGTTTGGTAAGGTGATTTTCATCACCGTTTTTCATGTATGTGTTGACAGGTAAGCACCACATAGGATACCCATCTTACTACAACACTCATTGGGATTAAGACTAGAAGCATCAACATAAATGATCTCTACATCAATGCGACCATTGGAGAGGGGAAGAGAATGTGAAGTTATGCCTCGTGTTAAAAGGTATTAATGAGGGGTAATTTGGCCCTCCAGTGACATTATGTCATGTTGCACTTCCAAACCGTTGCATAACACCTCGGTGCCATGTAGTCAGTGATGTGTCCTTACCAAGTCAGTCGGACCCATTTCATATTCACCTCAAACTCACCTCGAACGCTTCGAGAGATTGTGAGCTCCTATCATCACCTCGACAAGGGTTAAGGAGGGAATAGCCTCATACAGCATACACAACTCGGTAGGAGCAAACCAGGGACCACGACAGGAGGGCCAACCTCTTGCCGAGCACTCACTGACCTAACTGAGGTATGAGGTGGTGACTTATGTGATGTGGTGACCAACTCCCACTACGTATGCTCTATCATCTCCGATTCCTTTGGGATCACATCGCCTGATCGATAGAATTGACTTCCGTGTCGCCCGCTTCAAAGACAATTGGATAATCCTTTATCACTATTCACTAAAACCACCTCCGAGGGTGGCGGGCCGATAAGCCACATTCCCCCTGAAGATCTCGGACACACTACATAAGACCCATGCCTATATAAAGGCACATCCTTCAACCACTGAATGTACACTTGATTGTGCACTCAAGACACTCTTTGCATTCTAGCTCTCTAGCTCTCTTTTACTTATCACTAACTTAAACATCAGAATGCTCACCTCGTGTACTCTAACACTGTTCTCTTGCAGCTCAGCCTGCTAACCTCACCAACCCGACGTCCGAGCTATCCTCTAGCAGGGAGCTATCAGATCGCGCACCATCAGGCATAAAAGAGCAATATAGGATTTTAAAAGTTTTAAATGAGTTAACATGTGATGTTTTCACTGATGAAGGGTATTTTTAAGTCCGACAAGACCAGCCCACAAGGTATATTTAAGTCTAGTTAAAAAACTCAATGTATGTTTAAGTCGGTTTATGAAAATTCAAGGTATGTATAAGTCTTTTGTGATTTTTTTTTTAAATTGCGAGGTTTTAAGAAAGTGGGGGATGATTTATTTGGAGCGGGTTTAATGGATTTCAGTAAGGGTAGTCTCCCTAGTTTTCCTTTTTCAAGCTGAATTGATAACTTTTGATGAAGGTTTAAAGCTCACTTCAAGATTGAATTGTGTTAAATTGGTAGTTGAGAATGATTGCAAGTTGTTCACAGAGTGCATGATGAATCATGATCTCATTTTGCCAAAGGGTGGGTTATTTCTTCTAGTTGATGCTAAGTCACTTTTGTAATGATTTAGAGACATCTTTTGTTTTTGTTCCTAAATATTGTAATCGCTATGCTCAAGGTTTCAAGAACCAACCGATTTAAATGAATGAACCATCCGACTTAAAAAATAAAAATAATAAAAATAAAAAATGGCCAAAAACCATTGTCCAGATCAATGGTTCAACTACTTGGGTCAACGGGTCGTTAACCAAGTCAATAGTTTTTTGGCCAAGGACCGGGTTAAGGATGAAACAAAACCAGTTGCTTGGATGGTTCTCAGGCCGAACAATCCAACCATCCGAGTCAACAACGGTTCAAAAATACTGGCTATGCTCATGTGCTTGGCTGCTAGCTAGTCGTAGCTTTGGGTCATTGGAGGAATTTATCAATGTCCCTATTCTTTGGTTATTTAGGAGCTTAGATGATAATTTAGGTAATAGAAGCATTGTTGGAGCTTATTTTGTTTTGCTAGCACACGGTTCAGTTTTGTTTTTGTTTATTTGTGACTGTAATATGTACTCCTACCTAATGCAAAATTTGCACTCATTGTCAATGCAAAATTTACTTCACTTTTCCTATTATCTTAAGGGTAAATCTATTAAACTACCCCTACTGTTCACGAAATTGACAAACTGTCCCCTTATTGTTTATATATTGTCTTGGGATACCCTTAAGTTTTTTGACAATTGTCTAACACCTCCCTTACCGTTAATTTTCCGTCACACTCCGTTCACATGTGGCATGATGTGAGTGTTAATTATTTTAAAATTCCTAAAATACCCTTATTGTTCATCGCCGTTGTTGGAGCACTGTCATCGAGGACAATTACAGTGACGATGGAACACCATGACCACCTTGATGTCTCTAAAGAGGTGACTCGACCGTTCTAACTAGGGCTGCTAAGCACATCCACGATAACTTGACTGAAAGAAGGCAAACCCATCTACTGCTCTGGGCTCTGCTCTTCTTAAGCAAAGGCTCCGGTGAAGACAAATCTAATGATGACACCGCCCATGAATCGTTGGAACTGTCGTAGTTGAAACAAGTCTCTCCACCTTCGACCACGGCATCTTCCCACCCGATTTTGATTCCTCTTCATCTTCGCTGCCAACTAGTCCAAGAGGCACTCGGAACGCGAGTTCTTCTTCTGCAAATTTATGAGACTCCACCTTCGAATTGCAATTATGGATTTCTTCCTCTCTAAATCTAACCTTTTCGACATCAGCAATAACACTTAGCACCAATACTTCGAGACTTAGAAGTATTGGTATACCAATAGCCCTAGATGAGAACCACGTTGGAATCAACCTCAACATCATGAACACCTCCGATACTCAAAAGGTCGGATTCTATAAGGACGAAGACGAATTCGTTCCCATTGATATGTGGAATGGTGAGAAAATATGTGCTTGGATCGATTTCGATGGAACTGAATGACCGCTTCCAAGATCAAGGTAACAATTGCTCTTGCAAGCGTTTCTCGACCTTCTAGGACTCTGTTCAATTATTATGCCAATGAAATAGGTGGGTACATATCCAATGAGATGTTTGTTGGGTTCTCTACATCAAAGGACACTTCAGGAGAAGCGCAGATTTATTTAGACTCCCACCAACGACAAAGCAGATGCCTTTGGTTCA